TTTTGGTTAGCAGCCATGTGACTAGGGCAAAGTCCTCATACCATTACAGCCATGCACTGCATAACATCTGTTTGGACAACGTTTGACTGCATATACGTCCATGGTCCCATAAGGTTACAATAGAGTTCAGGAATCCCCATCAGAGAACAGGACATAGTGGACATAATGGATGTAGCAAATTTAACAGCTTCCTGCACACAACATGTGTATCTCATGTCTCTTGTATATGTAATATGGTGTTCGCACAATGTCTAAATCATATAACGTCCTCTCTCACAGAACATTTATCATGGACGTTAAGTGATGCAAGACTGTGCGTGAATTCTGATTCATTCAACAAATATTTATAGGATTAATTATGCACCCCTAACTTCCTGAAGCGAATATTCAGCATGTTGTGAAAGACAATGGTTTAGCAAGTAATACACCTCTATGTTTGAATTCTATCTCCGTGACTCATTTGTGATGATGATCTTGGTCAAGTAGCTTCATCTTTTTCAGTTACCTCATCTATAAAAACAGGAGTAATAAAATATGGTCATCCTGACTAAATACCACAATGTAGATTTAAGTGCCTACTTCAGTGTCTTAACGATAGGTATGTACCACATAAACGTTAGTTCCTCTTATTGCTCTAAGTACTTAAAATGAGTTCCCTTTAAGGATAATTTAAAAGATTTCCTTCATCTGTAAATTCTTAAAACTCCTTGATACTCTACCTTGTCAATTTTGTTTCTACTGCCAAGACTTTCTTCTCCAGCTGATTTTGAAACTATCTATAAATTTCCCAGGGCCTTTGCTGGACCCTAAACTGGTGTTTTTCCAGTTTATTAGATACGATATTGTCTTTTGTCCAACAAAAACAAAATGAAAAATCAATATTCTATTATCTTTTGGCAAATACCCCTGCCCCCCTAAATCAAAACAAAAATTTCTTATCTTGGGGTCATAGGCTCCGAATAGCAAATATAGTAAAGAATAATTAAAAAGACACTTCTGGAAGTCAAGGGTAAATTCCAAGCCCAGTACTCAAGAGATCTCCTTATGAACACAGGCCTTACTTGTTGCCTACTGCCCCTATCTCCAATGTATCCTCTCCCCTAAATATTACTACTTCTTTGAAATTGAAGTTAGCAACTCTGGTATATTTGAATGTTAACAGTTCTACTTGAAAGATGATGTTCTGAAGTTGCTGTTCTATAAGAATTCTTGGCAGCCAATAACCAGTTCACAGATAAAAAGGAATATGCATCCATCTCATACAATATTAATAAAAATCAGCATTTAAAAAAATCACCATACACCTCTGGGAAATCAAAGTATTATTTATTTATGACATATTTACATACTTACAAAATTGGTTTTATCCAATACTTCATCCTGCATAGTATCTTAAAATGAACACCATATACTGGGAATAAAAAACTCCAAGTCTCTTAATATTAAATTTATGGATAACCCAACATCTTTTAGAACATAAAATCTTGCCAATTTGGCATCACAGAACACAAATTCCCATTTAGAATTTTCTCTAACCAAAGAACAAATAAAATTCAACAACATATTTAGTCGAACCCTGAGTATATTGTTAATTTGCATAATTTTTGAATAAATGTACATAATACTTTCATTTGTACTCATATACAGTCATGTACCACATAATGTCTGTTCAGGCAACGTCCAACAGCATATACGTCCATGGTCCCATAAGGTTATAATAGAGTTCAGAAATCCCAACTGGAGAACGGGATGTAGAAGCAATGGGACATAGCAGATACAACCAGACATAGAGAACACAACAACTTCTCACATGCAACATGTGTATCTCATGTCTCTTCTATACAGGCAGTCCCTGAGTTACGAACGAGATCCATTCCTAAGTCTGTCTTTATCTCGAATTTGTAGGTAAACTGGAATACGTACATATGGTTCTTATTTAGTGTCAAATGTTTTTCTCAGTATATAGTATATATATTACCTTTCTATGCATATAAAGGAGTCCTGGTGCCACAGTGGTTAACAGCTCGGCTGCTAACCAAAAGGTCAGCAGTTCAAATCCACCAGCCGCTCCCTGGAAACCCTATGGGGCAGTTCTACTCCATCCTATAGGGTTGCTGTAAGTCGGAATCGCCTCGATGGCAATAGGTTTGTTTTTTTATGTATATAAACACTTAAGAAACACTTTCAAACCGTGCAATGTTTTCATGAGTGTCACAAAGTAGTGCACGCGTTCATTATTACAAACCATTGTATTTAACTGAAATTTTTTAATATAATAGGCTTTACAGCAGTCTGTAATTAAGTATGAGTCATCTGTAAGTCGGACGTTTGTAACCTGGGGACTGCCTCTAATGTGGTGTTAGTACACATGCAAATCACATAATGTCCTATTTCACAGCACATATCGTGGATGTTACATAACACATGACTGTACTTATCTTTTTGTCAATATTCATCCATCTCAATTTTCTACCATTAATCCTCTGGAAATAAAAGAACGAAGAGTGAGGAAGTATAATGACAAGAGACTCAGAAGTCTCTTGTCAGACACAGACTTTTCCAACCCCAGAAGTCTGTGGCACAGCTCTCTAGGCCCAAGGTTACCTCAATCACTTAAACATAGGACGGTCTTAAATTGAATAATCTGATTACCTTCTGTCAACTGAGGTTGCTGTTAATTTACTCTTTCTGCAGTCTTCCTGGTCCCATTCAAACTATTTAATTAAAACAAGAAAGTGTATAAGCTCATAAAATTCAGTAAATAGTTCCTGGAGCTCCTCAGGAGAAACTATATCACAAAAAGACTAAAATAACCTTGGTAAAGAATTATGTTAAAGATGGTTTTTCTCAAGAAGCTTGAGGGAGAAAAAGGAAATGGAGCCCTGCTCTCAAAAAAAAAAAAAGTAAATAAATGCTAGTGTGGGAGTTATAAGCTAGTGGGCAGGAAGAGAAAAGAATAGGGGTTGGGGGAGAGGAAGGGGGTTAGATAATTGGTAAAGGGAACTGTGGCCTTAGATTCAATGATCACCGTATTTTATGCCTAAATACCACCACTAGAAGACTACCTGGATAAAGCTGCCATGGTGTGTTAGAGATAATGAGTTACTTTTCTTGTCTCTTCTAAGTTTAGTCTCATGTACAACAAAGAAAACCAAGATGAAAAATAAACAAGAGATTGGGAAAGCTGAGCATGTGGAGTCAGTCATGGTCTGATGCCTTCCAAAGATAAGTGGCCAAAAAAGGGATCAGAGAGGCAGAACCAGTTCACATATTTATCTCTTCCATCTGCCCTTCTTAATCCTCCTCACCACTCACAGTTTCAAAGAGCAGAAGCTTACAGAGTTATCAAGTGCAGGAAAATTATCTGGCTTCAACCAAGCCATGGAATAACCCTGCAATTGCTCTTAGGGAATTGTAGGAAAGTCATCATCTATCTGGATATCAATGTTTGTGATTCGATTAAAAAAACACTCAAAAACAACAAATAATAAGATACATGAGACTTGGTAAAATAAAAACAATATACTAACTCGGATATTTCTAGGATCTGTAAAAATTCCCTACAATGAGGGAGTGGGGATAGCAGAAATATTTTAAGTACTGGCATAATCTCCTTCAGTCCCCAATGGAGGACTTTGTTATGCTTGTCATCAAGCCAATGTCATGATAAAATACTGTTAGAAAAGGGTAGCTTTTGATTTACTTTCATGAGTGATTTCAATGTTTTGCTTTCACATTAAAACAATCTTAATTTTTTAAAAAAAAAAGGATAGAAGCAAACGGTAGAGAAAAGCTTCTCTTTCTTACTCATGAAAGATGATGAAAACATAGACAAAATATTCTATGAATACAAACAGATGAAAAAAAGTGTTCTGTCCCTATTATTCCTGGGCAAAAATGTACCACTGCAACTGGCTACATCTTTCTCTCATTACTTATAATGACAAAGAGGCCTGACTTTGTCTCAACAGTCATTACGCAGTGTTTGGAAATTAACATACACCATGATTGCAAAATTAATATTCTTCTCATCTTCAGGTAAAAAATATCAGAAATCAAATAATTACTTGCAATATTCTCAATACAAAGTAAACCTTACATGTAAAGACAGTGCAGGATAAGAGTTTCAACACTTTTTTGTAAAACTACAAGGGACTGTGCTAATCCTTTTACATCTCAAGAACTGTAAAGAGTAAATAAAAATTAAATTACATTTACACAAGAAAATCCTCAAAAAGTTTATTTGAACTTGCAGATATAGAATTCAATAGTATAAGAAAAAAAATTATTTAATTTTGATTTATATAAATCCATAACTGGTAAAATATATTATTGGATGGGGGAGCTTTCACTAAATACAAACATAAGGGACTAAATAAACTAGATTGAATATAGTTTCTTTGAAAACTTCCAGAAAAAGTAAAGGCAGAATGGCACAAAGTTAGAAAAGTAGTGTTTAAGGCAAACTAATAAGAAGTAATCTTAACTAAAACAAGAGGCATACAAGCCCATAAACAACAAAATAATTCCCTCTCAAAATTTCTCTACTATAGTTTGGAGAATGTAAGTGGGACAAAAACAATGGCTGGTATCAGAGTTTATACTTCAAATGCTGAATAGTATTATACAAAATAACATGAATACTTCTGATTTAAAATATACTTGAGTCACTTGTCACTTAGTTATCACGAAGCAATGAACAAACAAAATGCAGTATGCTGATGATCTTAGCAGGAATCTGTCCAACACCAAAAATGACAATAAAGTGGAATTTTTCAGCCTATCTGTATAGATGATAACAAAAAGAAAATGATGAATTCAGTTATTTTGGCCCATACTGTTAAAAATGTGCATAGAAATGTGCACCATCTCCCTACAAGAAGGTGTGTTAAGGTAAATTCTTGAGCACACTGCTCAGCATCAGACCTGAGGATCACGGGCACACACAAACGCTTCACAGGCTGATGGGGAAGAGACTGATCAGGAATTAAAAGAAACAATGCTTTAAAAGAAGATTCAGTAAACATGTTTTTTAATTAACTATGTCTTCTTAAAAAACAAAATAATCAGGTATATATAATTAATTTAAATGTCTTAGCACATGACTTTCCACCTTATAAATCTGATGTATCAAATTGTGCTATAAATATGTTTATATATTTTCTTTTCTGAGAACTATAGTATATGAAATTATATGACCTTAAAAAGGATCTGTTTCTTTTCATCTGTTGGAATAACATCATGCCTTTCTAGAAAAAGAAAAACTGCAGCCTACAGGAAAATTATAAAAACTGCTGAATTCACTGAAGCTGTTCAATTTAAAGAAGGTACAAAATCTTTTACATCAAGCTGAAAGCAAAAGTCTCAGTATCCTACATCAGTCTTCTCTCACACGGTCCTGGGTGGTAGGCGCTGCTTATACATGCCTGCTAGTGCTTTGGCTGCACTGTAGATCATCTGTCGACGAGACATGCCGGTAAAAGCCAGGTGCCAATCAGTCCGACTGATGTTTAGTAAACTCTTTTCCAGGACTTCGCCCACTGTTACCAAAAGGCCTGACCACCTTAAATTGTAGTCCTGGGGAGTTAGACTTTGAGCCTTTGGAAAAAATGAAGTCGATATTATTTATAATACATTTAAAAATATCACTGGAACAAGCTGTGTTACTAAGTGACATTTCGAAGTCTCTCAGGTTACTTTTAATATAGATTATGAGAAATCCTGAGAAACACAGCTAGGCTGCCAACAGCAATGAAGTTACAAGGCTATAAAAAAATTAAAACAATATTGCATGCATCTACTTTGTTTAAAATATCTACATTAAGCTCATTTTGTTGTTCAAATATAATCGAAGCCTTAAATCTAATGACTCCATCTACTAACAAAGTTCAAATCAGAGGGCTTAAGTTCTTTGCTCAGTGTCACCTCTAGCTAATAACTGGATTAGTTCTAAAATGGAAATATTACTTGTATCTTTTTACAGTCTTAAAATTCCTACCGGAAATAGGGGAAACTTAAGGCTTCAACCCATTTAGAGAAGAGTTGCTCAATTAATTTATAGAAGTCTATTACAGGAAACCGCATTAACATTTGAATAAGTTAAAGTTGTTGTTAGTTGCTGTGGAGTCAATTCCAAAACACGGCAGCCCTGTGTGTGCAGAGTAGAACTGCTCCACAGGGTTTTCAAGGCTGTGACCTTTTGGAAGCAGACTGACAGGCCTTACTTTCAAGGTACCTCTGTGTATGTTTGAACTGCCAACCTTTTGGTTAGCAATCCAGTGCTTAACTGTTTGCACCACCCAGAGACTAACGCCTATCAATAATATTCAGTCCAGGACAGCATCAACCATTGTTATGTCATTCATACTTAACCCAACCTATGTCTGCTCCCACTCAAATCATTTCTTCATCTACACAAGTATGAGAGAAGAATAAACTCATTGCTTGATACCCAAAAATGATGCGTTTTTTCTGTTTTAGGGTATCAGATATTGTCTAAAGGAGTATATTATATCCATATGCAAAATGGATCTATACCATGATCCTCAAATCTGCTGTATATCACAATCACCTGAGGAGTTTTTACAAAACCAGTTTCTCAAGCCCCACCTAAGACTACTGAATTGGAAACTCCGTAGCTGGGTCCCAGCGAAACAGGACAGTATGCACAAAATAGCTCCCTGAGTAAGTCTGATGCAAACAGTCCAGCATATGGGAACCACTACTTTAAGTATTATCTTCCACAATGCACACTGCACTATCAGTATTTCACTGTTTCAAAAAAAGAGAAATTGCAGATGGATCACTAAGGCATTTAGAGAAAATAGCAGAACTGTGTTTTTCAAACTTTGATTTGCATAACAATTACCTGAGGGTCTTGTTAAAATGCAGATCCTGATTCAGTAGCTCTGGGTTGGAGCCTGAGTTTCTGAATTTTTAACAAGTTCCCAGGTGATGCTTATGATGCTAGGCTGAGGATCACACTTTCGAATAGCACCCAAAAACCAAACGCACTGCCAGTCCAGTTGATTCCAACTCATAGCGACCCTAAAGGACAGGGTAAAACTGCCCCATAGGGTTTCCAAGGCTGTAAATCTTTACAGAAGCAGACTGCCACGTATCTCTCCCGAGGAGCAGTTGGTGGGTTCAAACCGCTGACCTTTCAGTTAGCAGGTAAATGCTTAACCACTGTGCCATCAGAGCTCCTTATGTGAACAGTAAGGCATTTTATACTATCAGCAAAAACCCAGAATAGCTGGGTTTTTAATTGGGGGCTGAGAGGAGACCATTTGTATTTAAGTTCAACAAGCATAAATTATATGACTGTATTTTCCAGACTTTTACTTATAGGATTAACATACTGATGAAAATTATAATTCCCCGAAGAGCTGATTTCTATTCCCTTAAATAAAACATTTCAACAATAAAGAAGCACAAACATAAAATAAAACAACTCAGGAAGGATAAAAAGAAAGGGATATCACTGACTCCAGGGAGAGGAGCTGAACAGTTGGGGATGGGAGGAAGACATATCAAGGTATACACTTTTGTACCTTCTGAATTTTGAACCACAAGACAAAAAATTAAAAAAAAAACAGAATAAAAAGCTGAGCGAAAAGCTAATGACAACCTTTAAATACCACTTCCCGGAGTTTACCACTATTAAGTTTGCTGTGTATCTTTCCAGGCCTTTTCTTTCTATTCACTTATATACATCTTAAAGCACATTTACCCTCCCTGCCAATAACTGGGATCACACTAGATGCACTGTTTTTGTTTTTTTGTTTTCAGTGTATGTTCGAGATATCTTTCAATATTAATATATACAGGTCCCTCTTTGCTCTTTGACCACTATGTCGCTTTCTTTCCTTAAAAAAAAAAATTAAAAATTAAAAAATTGTCCTTTTGTAATAGAACACACCTAGTGCAGGAGTCGGCAAACTTTTTCTGAAAAGGGCCGGACAGTAAATATTGTGGGCCAGGTTGTCTCTACTGCAACTACTCAATTGTAACTGTAATGTGAAAGCAGTCACAAATAGTATGTAAACAAATGGCATGGTTGTGTTACAATAAAATGTATTTACAAAAACAGGCAGTATGCCAGATTTGTCTGTGGGCCATTATTTGCTGACCTCAGATCAGGAGCAATGTTAAATAGTGGCAATGACAGCAGCATCCTTAATTACAAGGTTTATAATAATCTTATCAGTAGATCTGATGTTTGCTTTGATTTTCCAGTACACACATACCCTTCTATTCAAAATTAGCTAAGAGTTAAACAACAGATATTTCAAACAAGTATCTTTCAAAGTCTATTAAAATTATTTTTCTCCTTTATCTGTTCATATACTGAATTATGTATTGATTTGCTATAGTTGAACCATCCTGCCACTCCCAGGACAAATCTTCCTTGGTCAGGATATAATGTTCATTTAATATATTCCTGAATTTTATTTACTAATTTTACCAATAATTTTGACATTTATTTCCTAAGTGATATTGCACTAAAATTTTCTTTGGTGCTACCACATGTTTAGGAAACAGATTAGTCTCACAGAAAGAACTGGAAAAGTTTCTGCCTCTATTTCTGATACTCTATACAACATGAGAATCATCTGTTCCTTGAATATACTTATAAAGCCATTAGGACTCAGTATTTTTTGGGAGTTAGATGAATTTCTTTTGTTGTAATACTTCATTTGGGTAATCTAATTATGTTGAATCATATGAAATTGCTAATATTTGACTATTTTTGACCTTCAAAGACAGCAATTTTGTATGGTTCAATCTAATACTTATTCTTGAGTCAAGTATGGCAATTTACATTTTCCTAGAAAATCAACCATTTCATCTAATTTATCAGTATAATAAATTATCATAGTATTCAGTTACAATCTTTTAATCATTTTCATATTGGAATATGTTTAACTTTCACATCTATAAAAATATTTTCTTGAACTTCTCAAAATAAGTAAGAATTATGGCATAAATGAGAGGCTCAAGAAACTTTCAAAGTTCCAAGCATCAATTCTCAGACCACTTTCTAAATTATAAACCTCCAGGAGTAACACAAGGTGGCTTTCAGGGATTCTGTGAACATATATGCCAAATCTGTATGTTAAGTGCTTATCTGTATTTTCTTGAGGGGACCCAATAGTTTTATCAGATTCTCTCAAATGCACACAAGTCCCAAACAACTTTGAGAGTTTTAAAATGACATTCAACAATGTATAAAAGTACAAATGTGATGAAAGATAGTTTATATAAAAACATATAAGGAATCAACATCATCTTACATTTATGCTTATATTCTACTGAAAACTATGTTGGTATAAATATTAATTCCATTTTCAGTCAACAAAACTTAAGACATGTGCCTATCACCTAAGGCTTCTAATACTGACTCATTACTGAAGATGAACAGTCAGAGAAAGACCAAGTCAAAAGAAAAGGAAAAGGTAATAGCAAAAATAAAACATGAGATAAAGGGGAAAGTAGGTGGGCATAAAACAAGCAGAAGAGGTAAATCTTTTTCTAACCTAAGGGCAGGAAACACAATCATAAAGTCAAAGAAAGAAAAAAAAACAAGGAAAATAATGATTAATCATGTAATGTACTATCTATTCAAAGACGGTTGGAAAACAAAAGTAGGGAGTTACTAAAACAACACAGAAAAAACAGGAAGTTGAAAAGCAAGGAAAAAGGCTGAAAAAGAAAAGACTGAAGCAAAATCAAGAACATATCATATTTCCAACAACACAGCTAATACAAATTTTTATTCTGAAAACAGTATTACAAGTTTCTCCAAAAACATAATGAAAAATAAAATGAGAAAACCAACCTGTCGTACAAATTCCAAAGGCACCGGTGTGGCTTGTGTAAATGTTTCCAGATGAATGCCATGGACAGGATCTTCAACTATCAAACAACCAATGTCAAACCATCTGTAATGAGATATGAGTTTCACATTGTTTACATGCTAACTAAAAGTTATAGTGAATACATAAAAAGTATTATTACTCAGGTAAAATATTAGCAAACTTCAAAAAGAAATTTTTTTAATCAATTTGCAAGTAGATAATGTAAAAAAGTAAATAAATAAAATTACCATTCTGACTTACTTCTAATAAGCAAAAAAGAACTAGGAATAAAAATAACATAATAATTTAAAATTACTTATCAAGGAAAGTTCACTTTTCTTGCTAAGAGGGGGAGAGGAATAGGAGTCTTCAAATTTGCAGCAGATAAATTTACTCATTTGAACATGAAAATAGTTGATCATGGCTAATATTTTTTAAATGTCATTTGCTAAAAATCAGAAATTTTATATTTCCAAATCTATTATTAATATGTAGCCAACTACTAGCAAATTAAAAAATATGTTCAGAAAAAATAACAAATACTCTTCTCATTCCTGATAAACCCTTCTAATCAAATTTTCTGAACTATTCACAATGAGTCAGTCTTCAAAGACAGCTTTATGACATCAGGGAAACTTTCTTCCATTTAAAGATACTTATAAATTACAAAAAAGTGGTACACCTGCAAATTGACTTAAGTCAACTGTAGCACCACCAGCATTTTAGCTCACCAGAATCATAAAACAGTCAGATTCCCTGAAATCATGAATTTAAGTAATGAGTATACGGAACAAGTATATGTTCAACATCTCTTTTTTTAACACATGTATATCTAATAAACGGCAATGAATATGCAATACGGCAGGAGACTTGTTCACAAATTCAAAGAAAAAACAAAAGTAAAATATAGGGTAACAATTTTGCTGAACAGTAAAATGGCAGTTTGTAATGTCTACAGTATTCACATTCTAAAACTATGTTTTTAAATTAAGAACATTAAATAATGGGATTTATTTGGTTACTAATCAATATTTGCTATTTTGTTATGACAATTTTCTTAGTCAAGATAATGTGTTTGGTTAAGTCTCTATAAAGTCAAATGTAGCTAAATTTTATTTTGTATTATTTTGCATGACTTGTGTGCAATAATGTACATGGTACAGAAGAATAATTATACTCAGTTATCAGGCGTGGACTTCCTGAAAAGCAGAGTCACTGAAGATACATAAGCAGTCTCTCTTCTTTGATGTGGATACACATTAGAAGAACTCCAAGGTCCCATTTATGCTATAAAGTACTATCATTCGATTATTGAACATTTATTGAACATTCCAACTTGGATGTCCCATTCTCTTAAACTCAATAAATCTAAAACTGCAATCACTGTCATCCCCACTAAATAACTTTTCCATTTCTTTCACAAGTGCTATTGTCTAAAGAAACTTTCAGTTCGTCTCCCCTTCAGGCCTACTGTCCTACAACTACACCTCTTCTCCATCCAAGGAGGAGAAGAGTGGTGATCTAGACTGATCATGTTCAAGGACAGCCCCTGAGGATCCCACTCTTCTTTCTCCTTATCCTTCTCCATGTGGCTGGTAAATTAAGATGGACTTGACTAATTCTATTTGGAAGTTCCATTGACTTGAAAAGGCCGTAAGAAGAATTTCAGTTCCAAGACATTGAGACTTCATCAGAACAAAATTTCAAAAAAGAATCTGGGGAACTAATGTAGGTATGCCAATTTTTTTTTTTTTAAACCAAAGAGAGACCATCTACTACCACCAATCAATTCATAAAAGAAAGAACATTTTAACACCAACATTTTAACACCAAAAAACTAGATAGGTTAATCTTACAGTCATGCTCAAATTGACATTCTTCTATATATAGTATAAATCATTCTAATTTTTTTCATTTAGCACGAATTAATATAAAGTACATCAAAGGCAGCATTTGAAAAATGCTAGGTCTAAGGTTAAGCGCTCAAATAACAGCTGAAAAGCTGGAGGTTCGAACCCACCCAGAGGCACCTCAGAAGACAGGCCTGGTGATCTTCTGAAATGTCATAGCCTTGCAAACTCTACGGAGCCATTCTACACTACACACATGGGGTCACCATGAGTCGGAATTGACTCGATGGCAACTAACAACATACTAGCTATATTCTTTGCTAGGGACCAAACACTTTTGGGATTTCCTCTTTTGGATGGCTTGCTCTTCCTGAATTGGGTCTTTTCTTGCCTAAGTTGTTAGCATGCATTTCCTTGGCTTTGTCTTCTGTGCAGAGAGAAGTAGCCACAGCAGGAAATATCAGGTATTTAGAATCATGGGTTTATTACATGTCCTCTTGTCCTCCCTAATCCATGTTAGAAACATCAACAGACTTCCTAATACTATTTAACATTCCTAACCTTCCTAATACTCTACTCTTCTGCTCAAAAGATATTTATTTGGTGAGAAAAATACCAATTATAAGTAATGTGGAGCAGCTTATGGCAGGCCAATGTTTCCACTAAAAAGTTGGATGAATTATAAAAAACATGTATTTAAAGGCATAAAAGAGCTGTAAAAGCAAGGAGGAAAAAATGGGAGTAAAACTTCTGAGAGGGGAAAACCTTTCAAACGTGAGCCAGAGAATTTCAGTTGACCCTGAGGGTTACCCAGCCGTAATTCAGCTCGGTCTGTGACTAAAGTCACCATACTATCCGCCACCTCCAACCCACCTCTGCCAACTCTATTAGAGGAAAGACAGAACCTTCTCAAGATCACTTGAAGACTCTAGTTTTTTATACACAGTGTCTAGCTTTCAAAAATTACTAGGCACTCAAAGAAACTGCACCATACCACATCATCAAAGCAAGGGGAAAAGGAGACTAAAGAGGCAGACCCACAAGTGATCCAGATACTGGAATTAATATAGAAGAATTTTAAAATAACTGTGATTCATACGTTCAAGAAAACAGAGGTAATTATATTCAAAATAGATGAAAAAATTTAGATATTCATTAGATAAATGGAATCTATTTAAAAAATTTAACTCACTGTATGGATTTAACAGCAGACTGGACAGAGCAGAAGACAGCATTAGTGAAACTGAAGACAAATGAGCAGAAAATACCCAAAATGAAGAGCAGAAAGAAAGAAAGAGAGGAAAAATAAAATAAAAAAAGAATTTACAATGTAAGAAATGTAAAAAACATTCCCGGAGCATGTTATATCTAATAACATGTAACTGGAGTCCACTGAAGAAAGGGGAGAAAAAAATGGGACAGAAGCAATGTTTGAAGAGATAACAGCCAAGAATTTTCCAAAACTGATGAAAGACATCAAGCCACAGAATGAGGAAGCTCAATGAATCCACAGAAAAATTAAAGAATACGTACAAAAAGCAAAGAAAGGGAACACACCTAGAAAACTACAGTAAAACCACAAATAAAAAGACAGAGAAAATTCCAATCTCTGAGAAGGAAAAAAAACACATTACCTTCACAGAAACAATAATAAGATGAACAGCTAATTTCTTAATAGAAATAACAGAATCAGAAAACAACTCAATGACAGCTTTAAACTGCTGAAAGAAAAGAATTGTCAACCTAGGTTTCTACATCCAGCAAAAACATCCTTCAAAAATAAAGATGAATGAAAGATACTTTCAGACAAACAAAAATTATGAGCATTTGTTGCCAGCAGTCCTACATAACAAGTAGTATACCAAAGAAAAATGATCCCAGACAGAAGAACAAAAATGCAGGCAGGAATTCAGAGGGTAAATATAAATGAACACTGGCTGTACAAAACCATACTAGTAATACTTTAGGAGTTTAAAATATATGCCTAATTAAGATGCATTACAATAATGCTACAAAAGGTGGAAGGGGAGTAAGTGGTGTTACAAGTGTTCTAAAGTCCCAGTACTATCAGGGAAAAAATAAAGTCATAATTTGTATTATAACGTAATATCAAAATGCATTGTAATTTCTATTGTTAGCATTAAAAGAATAGTGAAAGTTTAATAAATCAAAAAACCAAACCCATTGCCGTTGAGTTGATTCCAACTCACAGTGATCCCATAGGGTTTCTGAGGAGTGGCTGGTGGATTCGAACTGCCAAAGTTTTGGTTAGCAGCTGTAGCTCTGAACCAATGTGCCACCAGGGCTCCAAAAGTTTAATAGAGGGGGAAAAAATGAAGTAATCGTCATCACTGGATAGTCCCTCAGTACTTACACAGAAAGTTCAAACTTCTCAACACAGCATTCAAAGCTCTTCACAATTCTTCCTCAAAACACTTCCTGATTTCCTATCCAACAAACCTTCAGCCAAGCTGATACAATCACTGTCCCCAAAACACATCTTGATCATCTTCAAACTTTCTCTTCCACCCAGAATGTCCTTTTCCACTTATCCAAATTTTACCTACTCTTCAAAATCCAGTTCAAGCCCTAATCACTCATGAATCTCATCTGACACCACCTCCACAATGAGTAATCTCCACTGAACTTTTATATAACATTTCCTGTCAACAAAAAATTATATACCTTCTTATACAGCTGTTTAAACTATTTAAAGCTTTACAGCTGCTCCTCTGGGTATATACTGCCTATTCTCAGAGCTGGAGTACATTTTTGTACACTATAGTCACAAAGAGGAGCTCTGGTGGCACAGTGGTTAAAGCACTTGGCTGCTAACCAAGTCTGGCAGTTCGAACCCACCGGCCACCCGTGGGAGAAAGATGTGGCAGTCTCCTTCTGTACAGATTTACAGCCTTGTAAACCCTATGGGGCAGTTCTATTCTGTCCTTTAGGGTCGCGATGAGTAAGAACCAACTTGACAGCAATGGGTTTGGTTTTCTTTTTTTTTTGGTATAACCACAAAGTACTAGGTACAGCATTATTCAATACTGAATAAACAAGCAAACAAACTAAATAAAAACAAAACCACAATGTGATTGCAAAAGAAGGTAGATTTCAACAGTTGAGAAGTTATTTTAATCTAAATCAATCTGGCATATAAAAAGCAATTTCTCCCATGAAAAAGTGATCTATTAAAAGTATGGAATCCTCAAAAACAACAATTTTTCTGTTTGGGATTTTTCTCTGATCTAGATGAGAGCTAAAGCTCGGCAGAACACAAGCCTGGTGACTACCACTAGGCCCTCTTGCCCATACCTTCCATTACTCTAAATGACTGTGTAAATCGCTGTGCTTGCTATTAGTGGTCAATTATATCTAAATCAATAGACCACTGTATCATTGTCAGTACTATTATATTAACTGATTATTAATACAATCTTAGAAAGCAAGTATCACGGATTGAATTGTGTCCCCACAAAGTATCTGTCAACTTGGTTAGGCCATGATTCCCAGTATTATGTGGCTGTCCTCCATTCTGTGATTGTAATTTTACGTTAAAGAGGATTAGGGTGAGATTGTAACACCCTTACTAAGGTCACATCCCTGATCCAATGTAAGGGAGTTTTGCTGGGTGTGACCTGCATCACCTTTTATCTTAACAAGAAATAAAAGGGAAGCAAGCAGAGAGTTGGGGACCTCATACCATCAAGAAAGCAGCACGGGGAGCAGAGTGCGTCCTATGGACCCGGGGTCCCTGTACCTGAGAAGCTCCTCAACCAGGGGAAGATTGAGGACAAGGACCTTCCTCCAGAGCCAATAGACAGAGAAGGCCTTCCCCTGGAGCTGATGCCTGAATTTAGACTTTTAGCCTACTTTACTGTGAGGAAATAAACTTCTCTTTGTCAAAGCCATCCACTTGTGGTATTTCTGTTATAGCAGCACTAGATGACTAAGACGGCAGGTATTACTATTCTCCATTTTATAAAAGAGAAAAAGGGGTAGAAATGTCAGCTGAGCTACCCCAGTTACACAACTAGGTTAAATGATACAACTAGCACCAGAATACACTTTTCTCTGTGTTTCTATAGTTGGATACACTTTTTGCTAGGTATTCAGTGTGAAGGCCCTAGACTCTTTTTTCTTTTGGCTTCCAAGAAAAATGTAATAAGCCTCTTACCTGTCAGGTAGCAATTCTGCAATGAAGTTTTCTACTGACACAGCTGTTTGTTTTTCATGAATCACTCCACTTCGACGTAAGCTATCTATCCGTTCCTGGGCTCCCTAAACAACAACAGCATGGATTAGAAAATGATTTCAAATTATTCAATAATAAATATATTTATGATTATACATTTATACACAAATACATAAATACTCGCTGTAAACATTCAAATACATAAACATATGGAGTAAGAAGTAAAAAAGTCCAACCTTATTCCGTCGGTATTAACAGTTTGGAGTATACTTTCTAAATTACTCCTACATACCTTGTTATTTTGGTTGCTATTGTGAATTGGATCATTTTTATACTACATTTTCGAACTGGTTATTACTAACACAAGAAAACTATGGATTTTTTAAAAATGCTGATCTGGCAAAAGGCCGTCTTACTGATCATTCATTAGTTCTAATTAGATTCTCTCTTAGAATGTCTAGGTAGGCAATTACATCAACAGTAAGTATGTTTTTTCTCTTTCTTCAAGTTCTCTTTAAATATAACCTAAAAACATGCACCAAGATGGCTAGTTATTTAAAACTTAAGAAAACTACAAATGTATATATCACACCAAAGCTTGTTCAGGAAAATTATTGCCATTTATGAAGTAAAACAGAGTCTGAGAACACAGTATAGATAACTCAAAATCATGTATTAAATATGTACCTTACAGAAGAAAACTAAAAGCTGGATTAGTGAAGACAAGGTTGCTGTTTACTACTTTTATCTGAATCATTTCATAAACAGTAATCACAAATGATGTGAAATGTATTCTAAAAGCAAGAGAAAAATCTATTTCTGAACAAAACTAGCCATGAATAATAATACATTTATTCTTAATATGGACAATAAAGCTAAATAGTGAGTGTAAGATTTAAGTGGTCCATGCTTACTCAAATGAAACTTAAGACTAGGATACCTCTGAGACAACTGAAATAAACATAACAAAGTCACAACTGTATGAGAGCAGACAGAACAATTATAAAGCTTATAAAGATGAAAGAAAATACTATTTAAACTACAACAAAATCAGAACTGTGTCTGTTTTGCACACCATTATATCGCTGGTGTCTAGCACAGTATCTAGTTAAGTGTTCAATAAGAATTTGCTAAATGAATAAATTTAACAAAGGGAAAAATAAAGGGTTTCTGAAGGCCTATATGGCTAATGTTAAGAATCTAAGCAGTATAAATATGGAGTCACCAAAACTAATAATATTGAAATAAGCAGGCAGTTCTTGAATTTGAAAGAAAATAAGTAGTATAAATATGGAGTCACCAAATCTAATAATACTGGAATGAGCAGGCAGCTCTTGAATTTGAAAGAAAATATAACACACAAGATGAACTTAACTATTGAGAGTAAATTTACAATCGGGAAACTGTAAATTTTCCCAATTCACTCCACCCAAGAGGTAGTTATGGCTTAATTTTCATCAAAATGAAGTTTAAATAAATGTTAACTCAGTGAAAACTACTGCGGGATTAGTGGATGTTTAGAGCTTCATCCCTAACTTCTTAAAGGTGGTATCTCAGCTGTGCACTATAACAAAATATTCCTAGATTTGATGCTTCCAGGGAACACTGACTTAGTTTATTCATTTTTCACTATCCTGTAACACAGAACTTTATACTTGATGGGATTCTCAAAATATTTAATTGAAATTAATAAGCACCTGTAAGAGAATAATGAGTTAGGTAGACAGGTTTAATTCTTTTTTGTTTATGCAATCCAGAAGAGAAAATGAAGAGGTGATACTTGGCCGTTCTTCTCTTCCGACCACCACATTAATTAAATGTGACATCTTCTAGGAGTTTTATTTGCAAAGAGAGAAGCCTTAGCATTAGTCTCTGCCAATGTTTCTAGGACGGAATTTTATCTTTACTTTTCAGCAATAGGAAATGAAGAATTAGGTACTTTAGGGGCCACTAAGGTAAGAAACAGAAAGGCCCCTAGAGCTTACACTGTACTCTTAAGAACTACCACTAAGCAACTTGATTGAGATGAAGAATTAAAAATTTATGCTTCTTCAAAATTTATGTTTCTTCATAAATGCCTGTAGATATTAACTACATCCTTACTGAATACATGCTAAAAAACAATGTTTATAACTGATTGGACTTCAATAAAATGAATACTTGGAGATGTTTCAGAAGCTTCCTAACTTTAATCTTCGCTGAACTGATGTTAATTCCTTAAACAACTTCATATATTTAAAGGAAAACTTAAGGATAGTTCACTTCAAATAAAATCTTATGACAAGAAAAAAAATCTTAGTTAAAATTTTAATTTTCTAGGAGTCTACATTATTTTTGTTCTCTTTAGCTCCCTCTACTGTTTCTGGAAAGAAAAAAAAAACAGCTGATAAATTTACAAATCACTTACCTATATAAGAGTTTCAATGTATTTTAATTTTGAGCTTGTATTAAAGACTGTGGAAAAGGAACCTTACATGTTTAAATCTGAAGGGCAAGGTCAACAGCAAAAACAAACGTGTCAAATACTAATAAACTCACAATATAAATCTAACTACTAATAATATCCATAAGGCTTTTCTTAGAGGAAAAAAAATCCCATTAGCCTTTCAGTTTCAGTACCTATCAATCTTAAGTATCTTCTGTGTAATGGTATTTAATATAACAAAACATTTAAGACCCATGTTTTTACAACCATAATGAAAAATGCAGACTATCACACAGTCATCTAGTTATCTAAACTCATTTTTATTGTAACATTGTTTCATAAACTCTTCATAATTAATATTAATTAAATACCATCTTCGTAAATATTCCCATATTGCCTCCTTCCTTCACATTCAAAACTCATAGTTCAGGACTTGGTAAGCTTTCTGAATAACTGAAACCTTGGTATCAACAGACTCTATTGGTCAAACTGCCAGAATCTTCACCACCTTTGCTCAAATCCTCACTCTGAAACACAAAGCCATAAATTCCAATTTGCCTCGTATAACAAATTCAAGTTCTAACCTCTCAGATTTAAATATCTCTTACCACAGAATTAAACTAACAAATTCCTTTGCCATCCTTTTTTATAGTAATACCAGAACCAACATTCATGTTACATTTATATAATGCTTTAATTTACAAAAAGCCCTTGCTTTAGACCTTCAAGAAAATACACTCACCATTTCTATTGTTGTTGTCCAACCATCCCTTTCTACCTTAGGATTTTCCTCAGGTTACCTTCTAAAACTAAATCTTGAAGTCTTCCTTCCCAGATCTATAAACTCTTTCCAATTTGAAAAAGCACTCTTGAAATCTTAAAAGTACAACTTCAATCTAGGTATTTAACTTGTTGTTGTTGTCAGCTGCCATTGAGTAAGTTCCAACTCACTGCAACCCTATGTACAACAAAACGAAATGCTGCCCAGTCCTGCACCATCCTCACAATCGTTGCTATGCTTGAGTCCATTGTTGCAGCCACTGTGTCAATCCATCTCATCAAGGGTCTTTCTCTTTTTCGCTCACCCTCTACTTTACCAAGCATGATGTCCTTCTCCAGGGACTCGTCCCTCCTGATAACATGTCCAAAGTATGTGAGACAAATTCTTGCCATCCTCAATTCTAAGCAGCACTCTGGCTGTACTTCTTCCCAGACAGACTTGTTTCTTCTTCTGGCAGTCCATGGTATATTCAATATTCTTCACCAACACTATAATTCAAAGGCATCAATTCTTCTTTGGTCTTATTCATTGTCCAGCTTTCACATGCATATGAGGGGAATGAAAATATCATGGCTTGCATCAGGCGCACCCTAGTCCTCAAAGTGACATTCTTTGCTTTTCAACACTTTAAAGAGGTCTTTTGCAGCAGATCTGCCCAATGCAGTATGTCATTTGATTTCTTGACTGCTACTTCCATCAGCACTGATCATGGATCCAAGTAAAATGAAATCCTTGGCAACTTCAATCTTTTCTGTTTATCATGATGTTGCTTATTGGTCCAGTTGTGAGGATTTTTGTTTTATGTTGAGGTGTAATCCATACTGAAGGCTGTGGTCTTTGATCTTCATCAGTAAATGTTTCAAGTCCTCTTCACTTTCAGCAAGCAAGGTTGTGTCATCTGCGTATCTCAGGTTGTTAATGAGTCTTCCTCCTCCTCCAATCCTGATGCCTCGGTCTTCTTCATATCATCCAGCTTGTCAGATTATTTGCTCAGCATACAGACTGAATAAGCATGGTGAAAGGATACAACCCCGATGCACACCTTTCCTGATTTTAAACCATGCAGTATCCCCTTGTTCTGTTCAAACAACTGCCTCTTATTCTATGCACAGGTTCTGCATGTGCACAATTAAGTGTTCTGGAATTCCCATTCTTTGCAATGTTATCCATAAATCTGTGATGATCCACACAGTCAAATGCCTTTGCATAGTCAATAAAACAAAGGTAAACATCTTTCTGGTATTCTCTGCTTTTAACCAAAATCCATCTAACATCAGCAATACTATCTCCTGTTCTACATCCTCTTCTGAATCCGGCCTGAATTTCTGTCAGTTCCCTGTTGATGTACTACTGCATCTGTTTTTGAATTATCTTTAAATTAAAATTCCACTTGTATATTTATAACACTACAGAGTAGTTTAACTAAGAACAAAGTCAATCACTGTATCAGTATGTTAAAACCCATTAGCTCCATATAAAGTACAGGATTATTATCAGAATTATGAAAAAAATTAACTGCCAGTTTCTATATCCTAAAAAAACGTATTCTATTACTCACTTTTAATCCAGCTGCATAGCCCACTGGTTGTGGTGCAATGTTGGACTGTCCAGCTTCCCCTACCACCACAGCTAAGCCAAAGACCTCCTGGAAAGCATCTCGGACAGCAGCAACTTTTACTTCTTTATTTGAGGTTACTACAATATCCAGTTCACCTCCAGATTCTACAAAGACCAAAAGAAAATTTCAATTCCAAAGTCAAATAATCAAATTCTCATAATTATCACCATACCACATGCTAACATTTACATAATTATTACTAACCTCAAAATACTATGCATGATAACAAATGGAAAACTGATAAAAAGAATGTAAAAAGGTAAACTGCGTTAAAACCATTTCTAATGATTCTTAAGCATACTCTATACAGTTGAGATTGTTAAAACACGAGATTTCTGTATTTGTGTACAAATACTGCATTTTAAGTTCTAGTCAGATCAGAATGGTCTTGCTTTTGCTGCCTGTCAGCAAAGTGTCAGCTTTTTCACACTGTTTTATTACTTTTTAAAACTAATTAAGATTATATGCTACTATAAATTGATATTTGCTATTAACAGAAATTTCATTTATCTTTTTTTCCTTGGTTTTATGCCTTTTTCTTGATGTGAGAGACCACTGGCTTGAGAAGCAGTTAGTCTTGGGCTTGAGTCCTGGCTTTATTATTTACTAGCTTTGTTACCTTGGGAAGTCACTGAGCTTGTTTCTTCATAGAGAAATACCTCCCACCTCACAGTGCTGGCTCTAAGGATTAAATAAGATAACTGCTTTCAAAGTATAACATAGTACCTACTAAAACAGCAAGAGTTCCATAAATTTTAAATCCTTTCCTTCCTTCATTCAAAATATGTACTTGTGAATAAAATATATATGATGTATTTATTATGTCAAACTTATTCTGAATACATCAAATCAATACATGGTGGAGTCCAATTTCCAAACCCTCTGGACAGTTATAAACACAAAATATAATTCAGTTGATTTAATTCTTGATTCAGTTTTCTATTTCAAGGAGACAAAGCAGTCAAGTATAAAAAAAATACACGTGGGTCCAATCTAGTTCCACCAAGCTATGAAACCTAGGATAAGGAATTTCTCTGAACCCTGATTCCTCATCTAAAACTTGAGGAAAATAATTCCTACCTTGCAGAGTTCTTATGAGAATTAGTGCCTGGCAGAGCAAGCATTTAATAAATGGCACTTATCATTGTTAGGTCTTGTCCTTCAATATTTACTAGAGAGTAAACTATCAATATGGCCAAGATTAGTGAATGCTACTGGCTTCTTACTGCCAATGAAAATCCTGGTTCAGGTACCTAGAACACAGATTTGGCCTGCAAGTTTTTATCTTCTACAGGCTTACTAACAACTGGTCACTGACACTGCTAAGTGATAGGTACATAAAAATTATCGCAGACAGCATCTCTACATCAATTGTCTAGAGGATTCTTGAGGATGATGGTTCAAAGGTGGTTAAAACAGCCTTCTCAATAAACCTAGTGTCATGGATTGAATAGTGTCCCCCAAAAATTTCTGTGAACTTGGCTGGGTCATGATTCCCAGTACTGTATAATTGTGTACCACTTTGTAATGTGATGTGATTTCCTTATGTGTTGTAAACTCCATCACTATGATCTAATAAGATGGATTAGCAGCAGTTATACTGATGAGGTATACAAGATTGGATAGTGTCTTAAGCCAATCTCTTTTGAAATATAAAAGACAGAAGTGAACAGAGACACATGGGAACCTCATACCACCAAGAAAGCAGTGCTGGGAGCAGAGTGCGTCCTTTGGACCTGAGGTTCCTGCGCTGAGATGCTCCCAGACCAAGAGAAGACTGATGCACCAAAAGGACCTTTCTCCAGAACCGACAGAGAGAGAGAGCCTTCCCCTAGAGCTGAGGCCTTGAATTTGGACTTGTAGCCCACTGAACTGTGAGAGAATAAACTTCTCTTTGTTAAAGCCATCCACCTGCAGTATTTCTGTTATAACAGCACTAGATGACCAAGCCACCTAGTCATCAGATATTAGTAAACAGATTAATTTCCTCTAAAAATATTATTCCTGGATTAAGCATAAGCACATTTATATAAAATAGATAATTGGAGAAATGTCAAAACAAAACATGAACAAAGCTTCATTTCAAATGTGAACAGAGAATAAAGTAAAATTCATATAAAGCAACACTAACCCATAATTATAATTAGAATCAGTAAGTACACTAATAATTCTTTTCTTTTTACCCCTCCAAAGTTCATTCTGTGGCATTTTCACAATCTATTTAATGGTGACTAAAAAAAAAAGATGACTAATAACACCAGTAAACTAAGGCAATCAACTTAATGCAAGAATATGAGATATTTCCACCGATTATATGACCTATGGAAAAGAACTGAAAATTACAGTTAGTGATTGACATTGACACATACTTCAAAAAAAATTGAGAGATGCCAGTCTAATGTAAGTACATACTGATATATGGTGCCATGCCAGGATCCAGCGTTGTAATCATGCTTTCTACCGAATGTTTGGTTTTATCAAGCACCGATTTCACCATAGGATTCCCAGCCACACCCTGCATAAAACAAATTAATATATAAATACAAGCTATATTTTTTCTGTGGTGTTGGTGAAGAATACTGAATATACCATGGACTGTCAGAAGAACAAACAAATCTGTCTTAGAGGAAGTACAGCCAGAATGGTTTTTAGAAGTGAGGATAGCAAGATTTTGTCTCACTTTGGACATGTTATCAGGAGGGACCAGTCCCTGGAGAAGGACACCATGCTTGGTAAAGTAGAGGATCAGCAAAAGAGAAAGACCCTCAATGAGATGGACTGATACAGTGGCTGCAACAATAAGCTCAAACATAGCAGTAATTGTGAGGATAGCACACAACCTGGCAACATTTCATTCTGTTATACATAGGGTCGCTATGAGTTGAAGCCGACTCAATGCCACCTAACAACATCTTTAAGTAACAGCATACTTTTTCTTTACTAGATGGATTAACAGACTATGATTTTCATTCTTAAGCAAAGAGTGCCATGATCATGTGACCACGTAGGAAACTTTTTAAGTTTACAATTCATCACAGATCAGCACTTTTGTAAAATATTAGAAAAATGAGGCCATGGCAATGTCAAATTGCTATAAAATTTCTAAAATACTTACTTTCAATCACTCTTCTTATCACAGACAAACAACAGGTGAGTAGCACTGGCCTATGATATATTGTATATGCGCATACACACATATATGTATGTGCATATTTATTTCTATATATATGTATTTGTTTCATTTCATTTCTATCATATGTTTTTTATTCCTTATCTGGCTGGTAATTGTTGTTTCATTTCATTTCTATTTATATAAAAATTATGGAAAAACTTGTCCATCAGCATCAAAAATAAAGACTATAATCAGATATCTTCACTGGTCCTTGCTCTCTTCTCTAATAAAAAATTAAAAAATAATCAAAGCATCTCTTATCCTTCAGAACAGTTACCTATTACCTTAATATATAATATTCTGTTATGTTCTGCTAAAGTTTCTCCCTTTTTTTCTAGTTGCCTTTTCTCCTTATGTTCATTCCCCAAATCTCCCATTTTAGCCAGACCTATTCCTCTGGATTCTTAAAACTGTTGTATTAAGACAGGAAAAACCAAGTCTGTGTATTTCTTTCTATGCTATGATATACTCCTCCCATGGTGAAAGTCACTAGAGGGAGCAGTGCCCCTGAGACTGTATCTCGTTAAAAGGCAATTCTGTCTCTCTCAATCTACCATTAACCTAAGGTGATTCACAAAAAGATGAATTCATAACACTGAAGAAGACTAATATCAACCAACTAATATCAGAAGAGTTATTTACAGACTTACAGAGGTGAACTTGCATCACACCTCGTAAGTGATAACGTTACATGCTTTTAACAAGGAAAAACAAATTGTAGTCACTAACAAAGAAAGCTTTTAAATAGCACAGAGGAGGGAAACGTAAAACCGAATGTGGGTAAAGTGTCCACAGTTTTACCAAGGTAAACAATGTCACTAAGATGTACACAAAGAAAAGGGTCTTCTGGTAATAGCTACGGCATATATAATCTTGCAACAACAGAAACAATGACAAAAAAAATATGTGTGGGTATATATGTATGTATATATGTGTACAGGTATGTACATGTGTGTATACATAAGTGAATGTATATGTACGTGCATGTACGAGTATGCATGCATATTTATATACATAATAAAGCACACAGGGATCACCGTTATGGATACTTCTTAGACATAACCAAACACCTCATAGGATTAGTTTTCTAGGTTTGAAGGCTATGACCATAGTCTTGTGGGACAACTCTGTCAACTGGCATAATATAGTTCATCAAGTTTATGTTCTAGTGTCTGAGGCCTTAAAAGCTTGCTAGCAGCTATCTAAGATACAAATATTGGTCCCTACTTGTCTGGAGCAAAAGAGAAAGACGGAAACCGAAGACTCAGAAAAGAAACTAGTCTATAGGACTGTCTATAAGAACCAGAGCCTCATCTACCCTGAGACCAGAAGAACTAGATGGTTCCCGGCTACCACTACCAATCATTCTGATCAGGGCCACAATAAATAGATCCTGATAGAATGGGAGCAAAAATGCAGAAGAGAACCTCAAATTCTTAAAAAAAATCCAGACTTATTGGACTGGTTGAGACTGGAGGCCGCCCCGAGATTACTGCCCTGAGATAGTCTTTAAATTTTGAACCAAAACTATCCTGAGGTCACTTTTTACCTAAATAATAGATTGGCTCACAAAATAAAGAAAATTACCTTTAAGTACTGCATTCCTTTACAAAAATCATCTATAGGTGACCAAACGGCCAACAATTACTTTAAAACAAGGATGAGAAAGTAAGGGGGGAGGGAAACTAGACTAGTGGAAACAAACAACCAGAACAGAAATAATGAGAATGTTCATACACCGTGAAGAATGTAACCAATGTCACTGAACAATCTGTGTAGAAACTGTCGAATGGGAACCTAATCTGCTAGGTAAACTTTCACCGAAAACACAATATTATTTTAAAAGTAAATAAACGAGTAAAAACAGTACAGAGGGATACAGAAAAAAATAAAAAACAGTACAGAGGGATACAGCTTAAAAAAATGCTGTAATCCTGAAACATGAAGCTCAACTACATAAATCAATTAGCTAACAACTAATTAAGAAAACATGCTTAAATATATTTAGTGAAATTACAAACAAACCCCCAACAAAATATTGGAGGAAACCTAGCAGAGTGACTCCGAAATTCACTGAGAAAAAGAAATGGTAAGACTAGTGAAGAAAATTTTAGGAAAGCAGAAATTCGCAAACTTATAAAACCACATACTGGTATATCTTTATAAATGCAGAAACTTAGAAATGACCTTTCTGTCTTATTCACCAATGAATACTCTCCAACCCCACCTCAGCACACAGTAAGCTTTCAATAAGTATACCATAATAAATGAACATAGAGTTACAATAATTAAAACAGTGTGGTACTAATACAAGGACAGGCAAAGAAGTAGAGTAAAATAGAGCCCAGAAGGTGATCTTAACATACAAAATTTAGTAACTAAGATAAAGTTGACATATTAAATCACTAAGACTATGATGCTGGATATGGTGTTGTAACAATTAACTAGTTGGAAGAAAATTACGTTCGACTTCTACCTCATATAGTACAACAAAGTAAATTTCAGCTATATTAAATTGTTAAGTGTAAAAAACAAACCATTAAAAACTAGAAGAAAAATAGTTTTATACACTGGGGTAGAAAAAGTCTTTTTTAAGACTAAAAATAAACTCCAAAAATTTGGAAAAAAACAATAAAGTGATAGAAATGACTTCTGAAAAGTTAGATACTTTCAAGTAAAAAAAATTAAAATATAAACTAAAAATGGAGAAAACTATAACATATGACAGCATATAATAAAATATCTTTACTAAAAGCTCTTACAAATCATTAACAAAAGAAAACCATCTCAATTTAAAACCGGGCAAAGAACATGAATAAAAAATTCATAAAAGAATACAAATGGCCAAAAACCACATGAAAAAAATGTACAAATTCAGTAGCAAAGAAATGCAAATTAAAACAAGGAGGTATTATCTTTTGCCTATCAAATCAGAAAAGGTTACATTTCAAATTAATTACCAGTTTTGGCAAAAGAAAACTGCTGTGACAGTGTATTTTCGTATAAACTTCCTAGAGACCAATATGTATCAATAATTTTTAAAATTTTCACTCTCTGACATTCATCAAGACTTAATTCTAATTAAAGAGCAATGCACAAAGATTTGCATACAAGAGTGTACATAGCAGTTTTATTGGTAAGCGTTAAAATTAGAAAATACCAGCAGCAGATGAGTAAAATAAAACATGAGAAATACATGGAATGGCATGTAGGACAAAGCAGCCATAAAAAAAAAAAAAATCACATTTCTAAAGAATATTTTATGGCTAAGAAGATGTTTGATATTATGTTAGGTAATAAAAACAAAAGACACAAAACAGTGACCACTATGTCACTACCACAATTTGGTTTTTATTAAAAAGGAGGTACATTTACATAGGTATGAATAGACAAAAGATTGAGAAGAACTACAGAAAACTGGTAATTAAGAATAAGGGGGATTATTTTTTTCTTTATACCATTTTGTATTTTCAAAATTTTCTTTAATGAACATGTTACTTTCATAATTAAAAAACTAAACATAATTTTTAAAGTAATTACCCTTTACCTTAATAAAACCCCAGATTCCACCAGTAGATGCTTCATCCTGACCTCCACCAATTCTAGGATCTTCTTGTTCCTCTGGGAAAGTAATGGCTGATGTGGTTCCAGTTCCTTGTGGCAGAGACGTCAAGCTGGCTTGCTGAGTAATAGGACCTGGCAAAATACCTATTTAAAGGCATAATTTTTAATATGTATAATTTTTTCCGTAATGTATTTCCTACAAAAAAAAATACATATGAGTAGTTTAACACAGCTAGTAACTGTAAACTCAAGCATCTCAAGACTGAGCTATGAACCCAAAAAACTTAACAAAATGTACATTAAGCAAATTCAAAGAAGAAATTTCTTTCCCTTTTCAAAGACTCACACCAAATGTCCTGAAAGTGAACATAAAATATATATTAAAAATTAAAAAGTCTCTCACGTTTGTCCTGTTTAGCACTTGGACGCTGGTAGCTATAGTTCAACCTCTTTAATGCATAAAACTAACTAATGTATGCATCCAAGCCCCTCATAAAAGCATTTAACAATTAGTACACATACTCCATATATCCCATTTTACCTCAGAAAGAAAATTCACATATACACAGACATGATATGATACTTATACTTTGCAATAAACTCTTTGTAAAGGTAGATAAGTAAAGTTGGATAACAGAAATCACAACACAAGTTGCTTCTTTTCCCTAAAATGAGAAACAATAGGCAAAAGATGACAAAAATGAAGTTTTGATTTCCAACAACCATTTCAGGGAAGCAAAAAAAAATGTAGGTGTAACTGACCTAGAAAAAGAAATGGTCCGATACCACCAACTATGGCACACAAGATATCTTAATTTGTTTTGAATAGCTAGCTAAATAAACACTACTTCCTAGACTAGCCAGTCTTGGTAATTTACTTTTTCAGCTTAGACTTTTGCTTATTTATTTATATCTTGTTTATAAAAGAACTCAAAGACTAGCACCATACACCACCCTTAATGGCCTTTTGTGTGTATATGCGTAATAAACATATGCAACATAAATTTGCCATTTTACCCATTTTTAGGTATGTAATTCAGTGACATTAATTACAGTCACAATGTTGTACAATCATTACCATCTATTTCCAAAATTTCTCATCATCCCAAACAGAAACTCTGTACCCATTAAGAAATAACTCTTCCCCTAGTCCTGATCTTTTTTTTAAAAGATATACTTTTTTTATTATTATTTTTTACTATAGTGAACAGTCCTGATCATTTTTTAAGTGAAGCTTTAAAAAACTCTCAGATTTTACTTTGATATATTTCTCTATAACCACAGAAATATCAGGACAAAATTTTGGATTTTTTTTTCTGATATCCTAAAAAAAAAAAAAAAAAATTACATACTAGAATACAATAGCTTTGTTTTAATAATTTAAGTGGCAAAAACAGGAGAGACTACAAAATAAAAGAAATGAATTACGAATAAAACATTAATGTAGAGAAATCAGAACCCTCATACACTCCTGGTGGGAGAGTAAAATTGTGTAGTTGCTTTGAAAAACAGTCTGACAGTTCTTCAAAAGGTTAAACACAGTTACCATGTAACTAAGCAATTCTACTCATTCTCATACCCAGAGAAATGAAAACATATATCCACCAAAAATTCATACATGAAACAGTTGTATATGTAGCAGAATTACTCATAATAAACAAAAAACAGAAACAACCCAAATGTCCACCAGCTGATGAATAAGCAAAATGTGGTATATTCATACAATATACTCTTATTCACCTGCAAAAAGGAATGAAGTACTGACACATGCTACAACATGGATGAACCTTGAAAACACGCTAAGAAGCCACACACAAAAGTTCACATACTGTATGATTCCGTTCATATGAAATGTACCAAACAGTCACGTATATAAAGACAGAAAGCAGACCAACAGCTGCCTAGGGCTGGGAGGACTAGGGGAAAGGAGAGAGTGACTGCTAATAGGTACGGGGTTTCTCTTTGCGGTGATGAAAGGTTCTAAAACTGCCTGTGGAGAAACTCTGTGAATATACTAAAAACCATTGAATTGTACACTTTACATGGGTAAATTATATCTCAATAAGTTGTAATAAAAAAGACATTAACTATAGCGATTTAATTCAGAGAATTAATAAGACAGAATTACCTGTTACTGCAGGTGCAGAAAATGATGGCAACAGGGGTGTCTGGGGGGCTCTTCCTGCATGACCTCTTGTAATGTCATAAGTTGAACCCACAGAAAATCCTGATGTAGGAGGACTTGAAGGAGGAGCAGATAAAAGAGTATTTGGGGCAGAAGTTGAAGGTGGGAAGTGAGATATAGGAGGACTACTGAAGACAGTAGCAGTTGACAAAGAAACAGGAGGTGGTACAGAAGTAACAAGTGGTGGAACAGAAGGAACTGGCGAAGGAGGCACAAAAGATAATGGTGCTGAAGGCTTCACAGGAGGAAGGGATGGCTGAGGGGTAGAGTATGCATGGGGTGGCAAGGACTGCAAAGAGGATACATTTGGAGAAGAAAAAGAACTAGTTGCAGCTAGAAAAAAGTGGAGAGAAAAAAAAGCACAAAATAGGAAATGCTTTTTACTTAGTTTTCAATCTCATAGCTTTCTTCTTGCAAAATTTTCAAACTTAACAGATTATGATCTAAACATAAACTATACAACAAATATGACTGAGTGCAAACGACTTTTGATTCCCAGTTTAAGAAGTAGCTATAGACATTAAGTGATAACATTGTTCATAAACAGAATTTTGTTTTTTTCACTTGTTTTGGTAAATTTTTAATTAATAAAGCATTCTTTTTGTCCCTGCTAATTTGAACATAAAAACCTACAAACTAAAGTTTCAAAAACTTTAGTCAGAAGATTAACCTTCACAAAGTCGTTAGAACATTAGACAAAGCTATCAAATGCTTTTTAGGATATTTTTGTCATCACAATAAAGACAATTTAGAGTCAATATGAATATAAAGAACAAGTCTACCTAAAGCAAAACATGTACGTCTCCTTTCTTTGAGCTTAAATGAAAAAAGGCTATTTTTCTTCATTTGGATAAAGATTAGAAAAGTTTCAATACATGCATTATTTTTTTAATTGATTCTGAGGAAAAATAACAGTATTTACTAACTTCAAAACATACTCGATGCTAGACAACTACATGTACCTAAAGGAAGTGGTGTAGAAGACATAGCAGTAGCAGCCAGTCCTGCAGGATTTGGTGGAGGAGTGCCAGGTGGTGTCGTCTCTATTCCACTCTCTTCCATCATTTTCCTTCAGTTATGGTATACTCTAAAAATATAAAAATGTAATATTACACAGTAACCAAAGGTGTGCTTTCAATGCTTGCATGGAGAACAATTAAACAGTCCATGAGAATATTCAATGTGTGAACTGTCTGTGACACTTCTATATATATACTTTGTAATTAGGAAACAATTTTATGTTAACTGTATAATTAAATACATTTTAAATAGTAAAATACTAATTTCTATCACATGAATGTTCATTATACTGATGTCTAGATTTCAGTCACTATTACAATCAAAATAAAATATTTTTGAAACCCTTCCCCTCGTCCCATAAAGCATTGTATATGGGTCACTCCTATTAACATAAAGCAAAAAATTAAAATATGTTCAACTTGATAAACACATCAATTCCCCACTCACCTAGTTCAAATTTTAAAACATACCCTGTAACGGCTAATTATCATCATGCCTCAGGTTTTAGAAACGTTAACCATAGCAAAACAGCATTAGATGGCAGGATCCTAATACAAAGTAATGGATTATAAAACACGGGAAAATTTTCTTAAAATCTTCAAATTTTCAAGCCCACCTAAAGTATAAAACCAAAAACTTCTAAATCTACTAAATCTGTTTTTGATGTTTGTATTCATTGAACAAATCCTCAGAACGTCAACTACATGCCAGGCACCGTACTGGTCACTGGAAATACAACGGTAAGCAAAAATGGAATACTTACAGCCAGTATAGGAGATAATCAAATAATCATACTAATGAACAATGAAATGTAACCTGAATTAACTGCTCTGAGGGTAAGGAACACAGATTTCTTTGACAAGGAATGTGATTCTGACTTGAAGGTCAAAAGTTTCCCCAAGGAAGCCATATATAAACTGAAATCTGAAGGATGAGCAGAATTGAGCAAAGGAAAGAAGATAAAAAGGGCAAGATTCTAGAAAAAGTGAACATATGGCAGGTATAAACGCCCTGTAAGAAAGAGGGAGTAAGATACATTCAAGACAAGAATAGTCTTCAATGAGGATGAGAGAGACAGACAGGAGCCCCATCATTTTGATCCTCATAAATCAGATTAAGGAGTTTACTTTTGTAAAAACAGAAGTAACATAGGGCATTGCTTTCCCCAATAATGGCATCCTACATAACTATAGTACAATGATCAAACCCAGGAAATTGACTTTGGAACAATACTATTAACTAAAGATCTTATTTGGATTTCACCAGTTTTTGCATGCACTCTTTGTGGGGAGCAGGGCAGGGAGGCATATAGTTCTATGAAATTCTATCACATGCACGGATTCGTACAACCACTACAACAACCAAGATACAGAACTGTTCCCTTGCCTCAAAGAAACTCCTTCATACTACCCTTTTGTCATATCCTACCCTCCAACACTAAACCAAAAACCAAACCCATTGTCATTGAGTCAATTCTGACTCATAGCAACCTTACAGAACAGAGTAAAACTGCCCCATAGGGTTTCCAAGGAGCAGCTGGTGGATTCGAACTGCCGACCTCCAACACTAAACCCTGGCAATTACTGATCTATTCTCTATTATGATAATTTTCTCTTTTTGTGAATTATATATATATACATACATACGTATATATAAAACCATACAGCATGCAACCTTTTGAGTTGGCATTTTTTACTCAGCATAATGCCCTTGAGATCCATCCAAATTGGTGCATGTACTACTAGTTGGTTCTTTTTTATTGCTGAATAGTATTCCATTATACAGATGAACTACAATGCTTATCCATTCACCTGCTGAAGGACATTTGGGTGGATTCCAGTTTTCGGCAATTCATATTTGTGCTCTGAGAAGATTCCTTTGATTAAAGTACGCAGATTGGACCACAGGGCAGACACAGTAGATGCAGATAGACCCTTAAGGAGGATACAGAAGTAGTTCAAATAGGAAGTGATTATACCCTAGAAGTAATGATTCTCAAATGGGGGGTGGAGGAGTTGCCCCTCCAGGGAACATCTGCCAATGTTCTGGTGACATTTTGGGTTGTCACAATGGTTGGGAGACTACTGGCATTTAGTAAGTAGAGGCTAGGGATGCTGCTAAAAATTCTACAATGCACAAAACGGTGCTCCACAACAAAGAACTATCTGACCCCAAATGTCAATAGTGCTGATGCTGAGAAACTTTGGCCTAGACTAAGGAGATAACAATGGAGATGAAGAAAGTGGATGAATTCAAGAAATATTTAGGTGGTAATTACAGACTTAGTGACATACTGGATATGGGAGCAGGGAGGGGGAAGGCATGGCTTATACAACTGGATGGATGTTGGTGCCATTCACTAAGAAACGGAACACAGGAAGAGGTCAAGGTTTTTGTCTGATGATGTCTTTTGGGGATGGAGGGCAGATTATATAGTGTTTAGTCCTGGGCATGCTGAGTTTAAGCTCCTTGAAACACCCAAGTAGAAATACTGACTTGGTCTAGAGCTCAGAAACCGCATAAATGTGGGCATCATCAGTGTACTACCAATTTCTAAAGTCATGACCTGGGATGAGATGATCTAAATAGAGAATACCAAGTGAAAAGAAAAGATGACCTAAACCAATCCTTAAAGAACAGCCAGGTAGAAGATGAGCCTGCACAGAAGGAAGAGAAATGGCCAGGAAGATAGGAAGAAAACCAGGAGAGCATGGTATTCAAAAGTCAAAGAAGAGCATTTCAAGGTTGGAATGGTCAACAGTAGTAAATGCTACAGAGATGCAAATTAGCACGCTATGTGAAAAATCCAATGGATTTGACATACTGGAGGTGAATTTACTGAGAGCTGTTTCCCTGGAAGGAATGGGGATAGAAGCCTGTTTGAATTGGACTGAAGATGAAAAGTGAGGCAAATACACACAATACTTTCAAAAAGTTTGACTGTGAATGCAGAAGATCTATGGCATTAAGTAGAGAATATGAGATCCAGGGAGGTTAAATCTTTTAATTAAGTACCATCTACACCAAAGGTAGATAATCTGGGACAGAAATGGCCCTCAGGATTTTATCACTCCTCAACAAAGCTATCTCTTTTCTGCTTCTCCTCATTTATTTATTGGTCATTTATCTTTCTACCACAGATGCTACCTAATTCTTACAGTGGCTAGTCGAAGTCAGATGTAAAGATAATCCTGATCCCTCACATTAATAAATGTGTTGGCAAAAGAACTTGTACAATGAATACAACCCATAACATGGAAAAACTGGTCAATTTCTTTCCATCTTTGAAGGTATTACTCTTTGAGAATTGGCATGTTGACAATATTGAGGTATGGTCTGTATGCATAAACATAATTGTTATGTGCTGTTGAGTCAATTCCAGTTCATAGTGACCATATATGAGAGTAGAACTGCCCCATAGGGTTTCCTAGGCCAAAAATTTTATGGGAGCAGATCGCCAGGTCTTTTCTCCTGCAGAGCCACTGGGTGAGTTTGAATCTCCCACCTTGAGGTTAAGCACTGCACCATAATTGAGTTCTCAGTCTCAGGCCCAAACAAGCTCTTTCAATTTTTTAGTGCCTTGGTTTTTCTCTTTAAAAAGTGGATGACTACTTATAGGAATACAAGAAAATAAGTGGAATAATGGAGCTTTGATAAACTTAAAAAGCAACTATTATTGTTAATGTACTCCGTGTCACAAGATTGCCCCTACTACCAGACAGTGAGCGCTAGCGCTGGGTCCAAGTTTTGTCTCTGCATTCTCAGCTCTTATCCCCCAAAAACCTTCCATAAATGTTAACTGACTTGACTGTATATTGTGGCTGTGCAGGAGAAAGACTGGAACGCTAAAAGATATGTCATCTTCTAAAATAACTACATCGAATGACAAAAACTCTCTTGGATATAAACTCCGCCAATCAGGACACGGGCTATCCTACAAATCGGTCTCAGACATCACCCAGGATCGAACAAAGAGACAACAAAAGCTCTCGAGGCGGCGTTAGGAACCTATAGGGGAACCTCCGGGAAAACGGGCTTCGCCCCATTTCCCGTCCAGGTTTGTTGACTTAGGAGTCACCAGGGCGGGAATGGCCGAAATACCGTTCTAGGAGACGGCGGCCTCCCCCTAAACTCTGCCACGTCTCCAGGCGGGTTGGGCGGGACAAAGGTCCGCGGGTGCCTGTCGCAGGTCTTGCTCCTTCGGCCAGTGCGTTAGAAAGTGACGCCTGACGGTCAGGGGCGCCCATCTCGGTTCCTCGAGAGGAGCAAAGTGCCGGGAGAAGACCCCCGAACCACACCCACAGTGCAGTCCGCAGTGGACTCTGCAAGCCTTGCGATGCGCACCCCTGGCCGGCCGCACCCCACATGCTCCCACAGCCTGCGTCCGGGCCGCACGACTGGGGGGTGTCGGAGAAGACCCTCGCAGCCTTCGGCCCGGGCCGGTCCGCCCACCTCTCAGGGGTGCTTTCCCTTTGACACCCACATCCAACGCCGACACCCTCTCGCACCCACTCTGCTGCCAGGCTGACGCTTACCTGGGGCCCCGAGACAGTTCCTGTGTGGCAACTGAAAAGTGGGGTACAGGGTCGTCGGAGTGCAAGACTACGGCTCGGAGAAGACCAGGAAGATACAATCAAAAACTCACCACTGCCTGTCCCCGCCTCCAAGATGGCCGCCGGCCGGCGCATGCCCCTGCAGCTGCCACGTCGGCCGCGCACCGCCCGCCCCGACGCCCCGCCCCGGCCCCCGGCTCGGCGCCCCGCCTCTCCCCTGTCCCCCTAGCTGGGAACCTGACTCCAAGGCCGGAGGTTATACCTGTTTGAGTACCTCTGTCCGAAAGTCAACGCGCCAGCGAGAAATTCTCCAGTACGGCTATTCTTTCCACTCCTTAGCCCAAACACGCGAGAATAACACCTTTTGGTAGCGCAGTGGTTAAAGCGCTCGGCTGCCAACCTAAAGGTTGGTGGTTCCAACCCAGTAGCCGCTCCGCGGGGAAAGAAGTGGTAGTCTGCTTCCGTAAAGATTACAGCCTTGGAAACCCTGTGGGGCAGTTCTACACTGTCTTACGGGTTTGGTTTTTTTATTTTAACCAGGTGTAACTCATTTATCGTGTGCCATAACCACCCATGGGGATGGAGTTGAGCCAGTGAGAGTCTAGTCCAGTCCCCACCAACAGGTAGGACTACGCTTCTGAAACAGCGGACTTATCCTATGTATTTTCAAAGATTTCCAGATAACAGCAGTTACATCAGGGGAGAGATGGGGGGAAAAGGTAGCAGTTACTGTACTCTTTGATTTTTTCCCCCAAGTACATGTGTTACTCATTCAATATTTTTACATTGAAAAACCAAGACAAAGATTACCAACTTTCTTCTCCTTATGTGCTTCACCTAAAACAATACTGGAAGTAAAGTTGGTGCTCAATAAATGCATATTATCTAAATCAATGAATGGAGTGCAATGGAGAAAAACAAGGAATTTGAAATCAGAATTTGGGTCTGGAACTGCCCAATGGCACTTGTGCAGTTGTATGCCCTTGGGCAGGTCACTTAGTCTCCATAAGCCTCATATCTCCATCTCAAAAATGAGAATAATATTATCTGCCATCCCTAACTGTGGCAGGTAACATATGAAAATAAAATAAGGCATATGAAAGCACTTTTTAAGGCGCTGAGAATTAGACGGGTGAACATTGGTTTTGTTGTTCCCAAATTTCTTTCAGAAATCTATTGGTAGGTATAACATTAAAATATCTCTTGAACTTGACAGTTGTAAGTGTTCTAAAATACTTCACTGAAAAATTAATACTGTTTAGCAATGAATGCCCTGACTTCAGATCTCGCTTTGCATCTACAGTGTTGATTACAATATAGGGCTGGTCCCTTTGGTGGTGATTCTTACCCTAACCACTGAGGATGTGTGTAGGTGGTTATCTAGGTTACTCTCCAATTTAGGGTGGTGCTTACAATAGATACCATCTCCATCTTCTTTGGACAACACCCTTCATAGCTATAAAGTATTGATTTCTTCATTCATTCAACAAATGTTTATTAGTGGCTGCATTGTGCTAAACATTGGTACTCGAAATGCAACAATGAACAAGACAGACAAGGTCCTGACACTTAAGGAGTTTTCATTCTAGTAGAAGAGAGAAACTATGAACAGCAAGATAAACAAGGTAATTACTGTTGGTGATGGGCACTTTGAGGAAAATCAATAGTGTGATGTGATATAGACAACAATTGGGGTGGGCCATTAAGATAGGATGAATGGGCAAGGTTTCTCTGAGAAGCTGTTGTTTCAGCAGAGGCCTGTGAGGATGCAGCATGTGATAATCTGGGGAAGAGTATTCCAAACAGAGGGAACAGAGTGCAAAGGCTCTGAGGAGGGAGTGTGCTTGGCACATTTGCTGAACAGTGAGGAAGCTGGGACTAGGGGGGTGGTAAGAAATGAAGTCAGAGAGACAACAGGGGTCAGATCTTGTCAATTCTTGTAGGCTAGGATAAGGGCTTTGGATTTTATTCTGAGAGAAAGGGGAAACAAGGGGAGGGTTTTGAGCAGAGGACTGACAAGATTTGATTTCAGTTTTAAAAGGATCATTGTGATTGCTGTGTGAATTGTAGAGGGAGCAAAGACTAAAGAAGGGTGTACCATAATGAGATAATGGTGGTTGAGAGTAGCTAACGGGGGTAGAAGTGGTTCATGGTCTGGACATATGTCAAATGTTGAGCTGTCATGATTTAATCAATGGATTGGATGTGGGCTGTATTGGTTTCCTAAAGTTGCCGTAATAATTTTTTACAAATTATATGGCTTAAAACAACAGAAATTTTCTTTTCTCACAATTCTGGAGGCTAGGCGTCCAAATCAAGGTATTGACAGGGTCATGCTCCCTCCAAAAATTCTAGGAGGTGAATCCATTCCTTGTCTCTCCCGGCTTCCTGTGGCTGCCTGCATTCCTTGGTTTGTGGCAGCGTAACTCCAGTCTCTGTCTCCATCTTCACATGGCCTTTCTCCTATGTCTCCATGTCTCAAATCTCTTCTATGGATAACTGTCATTGGATTTAGGATCCTCCCTAAATCCAGGATGATGTCATCTTGAGGTCCTTAGTTTAATTACATCTACAAATACCCCATTTCCAAATAACATACCCTTTGGGGGGATGCTGTTCAACCTACTACATGAGCCATGAGGGGCACTAATCAACAAAATGAGCAAGATGGGCTTTCAAGTTGTTAACCTGGCATTGCATGTACAATTGTTTTTTTCACTTACCACATGTCTTAGTCATGTAGTGCTGCTATAACAGAAATACCACAAGTGGATGGCTTTAACAAAGAGAACTTTATTCTCTCACAGTCCAGCAAGCCACAAGTCCAAATTCCGGGCATCAGCTCCAGGGGAAGGCCTTCTCTCTCTGTTGACTCTGGAGGAAGGTCCTTGTGATGCATCAGTCTTCCCTTGATCTGGGAGCATCTCAGCGCAGGAACCTCAGGTCCAAAGGATGCTCTCTGCTCCTGGCACTGCTTTCTTGGTGGTATGAGGTTCCCATGTGTCTCTGCTCGATTCTCTGTTTTATATCTCAGAAGAGATTGGCTTAAGACCCCGTCCAGTCTTGTATACCTCATCAGTATGACGGCTGCTAATCCATCTTATTAGATCATAGTGATGGAGTTTACAACACATAAGGAAATCACATCAGATTACAAAATGGTACACAATTATACGATACTGGGAATCATGACCCAGCCAAGTTGACAGATATTTTGGAGGGACACAATTCAATCCATAACACCAAGTCTCATTTAAATTTTAAAAGAACTTTGTGTGGCTAATATTATTACCATTCCAGTATTACAAATATGGAAACAAAGACTCTGAGCGATTGTGTGTAGACCTGAAATTGGAACCTAGAATTTTTAAGCTATACTCCAACTGCTTGCCTGCTGTTTGAATAGTAAAATAAGATGTGTTCTTAAATGGAGGGCAATGAGGGACTTAACAGAAAATCATAGCTTAATAGAAGAATAAGGAGCCCTGAAGGCGCAATGGTTAAGTGCTCAGCTACTAACCAAAAGGTTGGCGGTTCGAACTCACCCAGTGGCTCTGTGGGAGGAGACCTGGCCATCTGCTCTTATAAAGATTACAGCCTAGAAAACCCTGTGGGGAAGTTCTCCTGTGTCACATGGTGACGCTATGAGTCGAAATCAACTCAGTGGCCCCCAGTAACAACAATGGAAGAGCAAATAACTGCTTAGTTTTTTTAGTTGTTGCTAACAGAACTCGAAGCTTTTCCTTATAAGTAGTCTCTAATACATACTAGAGTGTGTCTCTCATTATACTTCACAAATGTGTGAGGCATAATGAGAAATACAGTGCTGTAGTGGAATTTCGCATTTATGTCTCAAGAATAAAAGCAAACAAAACTATTTCCTGCTTAAGTTGAGGCTTTTTTTCCAGTTCAATTCAGAGTTAATACCTCTATTCTTAAATATTTTTAAGACAGTCCCTAATGTTTATAATATTTATATGAATATTCACGTGTCTATTTCCAGGTGGGTACAAGACACAGCTGAGACTTTGGGCATCTGCAGCGTAACCAGGAGTAGAGGCAGAGCTGATTTAGGTTTGAGAGGCAATGGGCTCTGCTGAGAGAATAGTCCGTAAGTTATACAACTGCCCAGAAAGAACTCTTGAGTAGATATGCCAAGGGTACTGGTCCAGGTGTACAGATCAGGGGTCCCACATCCACACCCAGCCCATGCGAAGATGATGTGTAAGTTCCTTCAGCAACTAGAAGCCCTGATAGGAAGGTTGACAAGGAGAAGGATAAGGGTTGCCCGAAATATTGAGTGGGACATGCTTATACTAAAAAGTTATTGTTGTTTGTCTAAAATTCAAATTTAGGAGGCAAGCCAACCAGCCATTAGAATCTGAGAGGCAATGTGGAGTATCACATAGACTGTGATGCCAGAGAGCCTGAAGTGAATCTTGGCGCTATCACCAGCTGGATTAACCGCTACCCTTGGGCATGTGACTTAAACTCACTGTGCCTCCGTTTCTCCACTAACACCTCATAGGCCCCTCCTCCCCAGGATTAAACGACTTAATATGCATGAAGTGCTTAGACAGTGCTTAACAAGTAGTATTCTCTATATAAGTGTTAGCTGTCATTCTTTGATTTAAAAGTGCATAAATATTCATCTGATAATGACTATTTTTAAACCAAAAAGAATATTATTTACGTGAAGCCAAGTTGTAACTGCCAAACTTAAGGTTTTGTTGGCTTGTTTGTTTTCTACCAAAGAAAATTTAGTTACTTATAGATAGGGTGGCTCTACATCTCAATGTGTCCAGCATATTCCCAATTTATGGCTGTTTTCCTAGCATAATTATTAAGAGTACCCACCTTTCACTCTCAAAAATGTTCCAGTTTGCACAATAAATGGTCACCCTAGTCATAGAGATATTAAAAAATTATACCTTTTTGCACGTGTGAGTTATAGTGTGAAAATTTCAATACCTGCCCCCTGTTCCCACGTACATAATCATTACCAGAAACTATTCCAATCTTCTTCAAAGAAGAACTGAATTACCTTTCTAAAATATGTATAAAAACAAATATTTTATGACTCTGTGTTGCCTACATGGTAAAGTCTTAAAAA